CAGGCACTGCGGTGGCCGGGAGGGGAGGCCCTGCCTGGGTCTCGACCGACTCCGCTTCGCCCCGCGTCCCCCCCAGAGCTCCGAGCCCCCACCTCGGCGCGCTCGCCTCGTGGGGGTGGGGCGAGGGTCTGCGGCCTCACCGGAGGCCTCTGGGCTGGCCCAGCGACTTCTCGGGGTCTGGGGTCCTAATCGACCCTACAGTGTTTTCAGGCTGGTGGTGATCAGAGTGCAGCTGAGGGCCGCGTGGGCAGCGAGAGGCTAAGAGCGCGCGCCTGCCACAGTCAGGCTGGGCCCGGGTGTGTGCCCCGGGCAAGCGACTTAAGCTTTTTTTGATCCTCATTGTGATCATCTGGTTAAAGTACCTGCTTCCTTGGGCTGATGAAAGGACTAACTCAGATCTCTATTAGGTGGTATTCATAGTTTGAGTGGGTACATACTTTGGCCTGGTCCTGTCCAGGTCCCTCGGGCTTGCAGGTCTGTAAAACAAATCTCGGCCCTCATGCTGCTGATTAATAAGAGAAATGCATGTGCATAATAATCAGGTTGTGAAAAACTGGAACGCCCGTTGCTAGGTTTGTAAAAAGCAGTCAGTGTTTGGTGTGGGGCATTGGTCAAGGAGGCATGTCGGGACTTGAAGGTTGCCGGGGCACACACACTAGGTCCGTGCTATTAATGCCTAGCTGGCAGTGGTGCCCTAGCTGGTTTGCTCAGGGATTAGAGCGTAGGCCTGCCAACCAAGGGTTCCGGGTTCAACTCCCGTCAAGGGCACGTACCTCAGTTGCAGACAGTGCCCCAGTCAGGGCACATTGGAGAGGCAACCAATCAATGTGCCTCTCACATGGATGTTTCCCTCTCTCTCTCTCCTTTCCACTCTCTCTGAAAAGCAATGGAAAAAAATATCCTCCAGTGAGGATTAAAAAATATATATATTAGATCGCATTGGTATTTCTTTAGCACAACGATTTTCAACCAGTGTGCCTTAAGCATTTTTACAACATGCAATACCTGACTATTTGGTCAGGGGCCCTGCCCTCTTTTCCCTTATTGTCAAATAAAAAAATGACACCAACCAACACAACAATAGCCATCTGGTGTGAATGAATCAAAATTACTGTATACCTATTTTTTTTTTTTTGGTCAGATGCCAAAAATATGATTTTTGGTGTGCCGCAGAATTTTAATAATTAGTTTGTGTGCCATGAGATGGAAAAGGTTGAAAACTGCTGCTTTAGAGTATATAGAACATCACGTATATTTTGGTCACATTTACTAGTGAGTGGATAGAGAAGATTAATTTTCAAATGGAATGTTTATCTCCACATCCTTACTGCTGCCTTACTTTGATGCCAGAGATGTGTGTATTTTAGTGACTCAGGGAGGTGAGTTACAGATACAGATACACCAGTGTAGATGCACAACATTTTGGAGGTGAGGACAGATTAAGGAAGTGTAAGGGTAGAGCAGTAATTATCAAACAGCGTGGAAGAGCTTAGCTCACAGTTGAAGGATATTCTAGGATTAAAAACAAACCAACCTCGAAAGATGATTCATATCAGAACCTATAGTTTGAAGCTTCTTTATCCATTCATCAGCTGATGGGCGCTTGGTTTGTTTCTACTTTTTGGCTGTTAGAAGAATGCTGCTGTCAACATTCACATACATGTTTTTGTGTGAACATGTGTTCAGTCCTCTTGGATATATACCTAGGAGTAGAATTGCTGGTTCATATGGTAACTCAGCTTTTTCAGGAGCTGCAAAGCCGATTTCCATAGTGGCTGCACCATTGACATCCCCGCCAGCAATGTGTGAAGGTTCTGATTTCTCCACATCATCATCAGCACTTGTTACTTACCTTTTTAAATTATAGCCATCCTAGTGGGGAAAGCTCTAATTTTAAAAAATAATAAGTTTTTCTATGTGGCATTCTAAATGACCAAACACTGGTAAATTATAGTGATTTGACTCTTTAGATGGATTGATTAGAATGTGATGTAAATAAAGTGTATTTTTTTACTTAATTGATTTTTAGATAGAGGAAGGGGAGAGAGATAGATGGATTTGTTCTTCCAGTTATGTATGCATTCGTTGCATTCGTTAGTTGTTCTTGTATGTGCCCTGACTGGGCATCAAACCCTAAACCTTAGTGTGTATCAGGACAATTCTCTAACCAACTGAGCTACCCCACCCAGGCGAGCCCAGTCTTAGTGTATGCTGTGTTAATTTCTCTTACCATAATTCGCCCAGATTACTCACAGGTAAATGCTTACAAGAGAGTTAGACTAATTCTTCCATCTCAGGAGGAACAAGTCTAAGGACCTGCCCTGCTAATAAGACGGTTAGCAAGGTGACCTTGGCATAAAGGCAGCGTATACTCACTTTTGTATTTCTGTCCCTCTCTTCTATCTCTTTCGTTTATATCCTGCCTAACCAGCAAGGGATTTGAGAGGATTTTCATTATGATTATGTTGTATGGAATAATGACAAATATCTCTAAGAATAGAATCAGAACCAGAAAAAATAGGGATGGAAGAAGGGAATCTTATGTAGAACATGATCATAGGGGCTCATATAAAGGTGTCATCGAATATCATGTTTGACCATCAGCTTATTATCTGGCAAAGTTACTAAAAAGAGACATGATCTGTTACACATCTAAACTTCAGACTTTTTCTCTAAAGAAGCAAAGTTTTTCATAACTCTGAATTAAAAAAAAGAAACAAGTCTCAGGTGGGACTTTACATAGTGGAAGTAAACTGCAGAGAAAGTGTATAGAGGTGTCCTCACTAAAGCATTGGTAGCATAAGTATAATTTTTAATTGTGATACACTAGTGTGGGCTGTATTCATATTTGTCACACGTTCGTTCATGTCTCTTGCTATTTTATGAAAATTTTAACTCTAGGTATTAATGATTATCTTTTTAAAAATCATATTTTTCTTCTATTTGTATACTGTGTTTTCCAGAATGCATACATAGAAGATTGGGACAAGATCTTTATCTAATTTCTGGTAAGTTAAGTGACTGATTTAAAGAGTGACATAAAATAATTGTATGGCTATATTTTCAGTCATTTAAGAGAAATTTTCGTGACGATAAGATAAAAATGATACTGATAAGTTGTTATTATTACATAATGCCAAAAGAACTGAGAGCTTTTCCAGAAACCTGCTTATAAAAGATGATATCCAAAAACGTATGTCATCATTTCCTAAAGACTCAGGTTACTTTTGTTGGATCAGATATTGATGTTATAGTTTATGAAGAATAGAGTTATCTCAGCGTAACCTAGTATAAGATACAAACATTCAGTATGATCTACTTAAGGTAAAAGTCAAATTATTAAGATCAGTCTGAAGTTTCATTCTTCATCAGCCTTATTTTCCTCTCTCAGTTATAACTTGTGAGTTATTTCAAAAGCTAAACCCGACATGCTTTATGAGTGGACAAATTAAACCTTATAATTTTCACATTTAAATCTGCAAGAAAATTTACCATTAACCTTTACTCATTTTTGGTAGAAATGACTTTATATAGTATTTATGTAGACTAAAACGTAACTTTTTAGCTGTGAAAAGAGTAATACTGGATTATTTTTTCCTTCTAGTGGCAAAATTAAAGACTTGTCATGACAATGAAGAAAGAGACTGAATTTGTCATTTTCACCTAAAGAAAAATGATAGACAGAAATCAAACCTGTGGTATAGGACAGGATTCTATGCCCTATATGAGTTGTTTGATTCACATATTTGAAGAATGGTTTGGCGTGGAACAATTGGAGGACTATTTGAATTTTGCAAACTATCTCGTATGGGTTTTTACACCACTAATACTTTTAATACTTCCGTACTTTACCATTTTTCTTCTCTACCTTACTATTATTTTCTTACACATTTATAAGAGGAAGAATGTATTAAAAGAAGCCTATTCTCATAATTTATGGGATGGTGCAAGGAAGACAGTAGCAACTCTGTGGGATGGACATGCAGCAGTTTGGCATGGTAAGCAAGATTACTTTGATCTCTATGTGTTGCTGTTTGTGTTTGTGGCCCAGAAACTGTATCATTTCATTTTACTGATTGAGAAGAAACTGAAAAATATAATGGAAGGGATATTTATTATTTCTTGTTATCTATTTGCATGCATTGTGCATATATATATGTCTTCCTTAAAATAATTTTTTCCAAATACATTAGTGTCCATTAAAGAAAGAACCACAACAGCAGTTAGACTATTTCTGTAAGCTAAAATATAAGCATTTATATTTAAGATATCTAAGAGAGTAAGAGACTATTTGAAACAGTATAGAAAACTGTCTTGAAAATACTTTATTAGCATTTATTTCCATTTTGTTTAAATAAGTTTGATTTTCCCAGTGTAGAGATATTTTAAAAATGAATATTAAATATAATTTGTAGCCCAGCTGGGCATGGCTCAGCGGTTGAGTATCGACCTGGGATCCAGGTGATCGGGGTTCGATTCCCGGTCAGGGCACATACCCAGGTTGCAGGCTCAATCAATGACTCTCTCATCATTGATGTTTCTATCTCTCTCCCTCCCTCTCCGTTCCTCTCTCTGAAATCAATAAAGACATTAAAAAAAAAAGTCAACTTTAAAAAAATATATATATAAATAATTTGTATACCAAAATTTACCTTTTTTCGGTATGATTCATTTCAGAGGTCATTACATCTTTCTCTATAAATGAGATAGCAGTAAGTTTCTCTCCAGGATATTCATTTTTTGCTTTGTTATTTCAGAAAATGTGATGTTGTGCACTTAATGATAAGTGGTTCTTCATTTGGCTGTCATGAAAATTGCTCTCTAGTGGCCTAGTTTCAAGAACTTGGTGTTTTCCTCTACTGGTTTTTACCTTATTTGTTGGTCTTTTTTGTTTTGGACTATACAAAAATACAGAAAATTCAACAGGCTTTTAACAAAGATGTTCCTTCTGTATCATGTTGAGCATCAAAAGTGGTTTCACAGAAAGACATGGAAGGAAACGCAGATTTTGAAATAGACATTTGAGGTAGTGATCATTCTAAGGAATATAAATGGCAAATCACTATGTTGTTTACCTGAAGCTAATATAATATTATATGTCAACTATAATTTAAAAAAATAGACACTTATGGGAATATATAAGTATAAAGCTGCTCTTACCAAGATCACCAGTGACATGCTTATTAGGCTAATGTGTCTTCATTTTAATACTACATACATTCTTACAAATCTTTTTGAGCACTTAATTATGTGATACATTGTAAAATGCTTAACATGCATTAATTCTTTTAAACCTTGTAACATAATAGAAAGGTTCTGTTAGCTCCATTTTACAGTTTTCCCATGAGCAAACAGTACCAGAGAGGTTGTTATTTGCCCAAGGCACACTAAGAAGCTAGGAAGAAGAGCCAGAATGGGACCTCAGATATCAGGCTCTAAGACGTGTGCTTTTGTGGTCTGTGCTGTGTGGTAAGTTCATCCTAGATTGGGGATTCAGGGTCAAAAGTAGTGGTATTCAGCAAGTTTGCAAACAGGAACCACATGTCCTTGATGGATTGAATTCCTAATATTTACTCACTTATACTAATGCTCTTGCCAGTCAGTACAACTCTCATACTCTGATAGTTGTTTAACATGAGGTAAGATGATACTTCAGCATTCTACTGTGTGTGTCTGCAGAGATTGCATCTAGGTAGACTACTGTTGTTCATGGTCTTTAAAACAGTGAAAGAAAAATTCAGTGGAGTAATTTACAATACTCAATGAGAATATTTATCTCTCTCCCACATATATACCCCCCCCAATAGCTCAGGATAACATACATTGTAAGGAATTATAATTTATATATATTTCAGGAGACATGGTTTATTTTGGATAACTTCAAGCACTGAACTTATTTTGTAGCAGAATATCTATTTTTGAAGTATTTTATTTATTGAAGTATTTTAAAATATGCACTTATTACTCAGAGGAGGTAAAATGTATATACATAGTTCTTACTCTGTTTTAATGTTTTGTTATAACATTATTTTATTAGATAAATGATAACTTTAAAAAGTGATTTTATTTACCCTGTTCTTTAGAGACACATATAAAAGGCATTTGTGTGCATATTTGGATTCTGTATTGGTGTCAAATCAGTTTAAATCATGTTTTTTAAAGAATCTTCAAAGGACTTTTTAACTAATATAAATGTTCATTATAAAAAATGTGTCAAATAAGAAAAATAAAGAAAATTATAGTCACCTAAAATTTACCATGTAATTGAGTTCTTTTGAAATTGTGGTGCATTTATGATTTTTTATGTGTGTGGCAGACTAGTATTTTTAATGTTACTAAGCCTTTTTGGTGACTTCTAATGACTACATGGAACCCTGTAAATTTTATAATTTAGTTACCTATTGAATCATCATTTATTTATAATTTGTTTACTATATCTTTGTGCAAGAATCTATCCAATGTTTTCTGTCTTGGAGTTAAATTTTACCCTCATACTATATATAATGTAAGTATACTGTCATTTTTCAAAAAAATTCTCTGATTCTTATCTGGTGTTCCAAATAATGCCTATACTGTCAAGAAACATTAATTTGATGTTTCTTTAAGCACCTACATTTATAGGTAGTTTGCTTGATGATGGCGGGTCAGTGAATTTCTTACACTCAAGTTGCTTATAGCCTTTAAACTATAAAATCATGACTTATTTAAAAAAAACCACATTATTCCTAGAAAATATGAATGATATTATTAAAATCTGGACTCTTAATGATATTATTAAAATCTAGCCCCCCTAATGGCTGAAGGACTGATTTGTTCAAAAAGGGAAGGAAGGGAGAGAGGGAGACTCATGCACTTTTGTAAAAAAACCCTGCGTTTCTGAGTTAGTAACCATCCTTTACTTTTAATAACTAATAAATGTATTTCAAGTATTTGTATTTTGTCTTTCTAACAGGTTATGAAGTTCATGGAATGGAAAAAATACCAGAAGGACCAGCCCTTATAATTTTTTATCATGGAGCTATTCCCATAGATTTTTACTACTTCATGGCTAAAATTTTTATCCATAAAGGCAGAACTTGCCGAGTAGTAGCTGATCACTTTGTCTTTAAAATTCCAGGTAAACTTTCACTGTAGATAGTGATATAAAAATGTTAATTAACACAATCAAATTATATGACAGTCCGTATCTTTGAGTTCTCTAGTATCATATGGAAAAGCTTTTTGCCTTTTGAGGTTACACACTTGGAACTCCAGTGTGGGAGCATCTGATTGTCCTGTTTAGATAATACACCTAAGTGTAAAAACATTATGGCCAAAGGCTTATCTAATCTCTTCATTAACAGGTATTTAGTCGTTATTTTTCAAAGTTAAATCCTGAACTTCCACTTTAAAAAAAATTGTAACTTTTGCCAAATAATTTATATTTTGGTATAGAGAATCTCTTATGTTTTTTATCATATTTCTTAACTTGCCTGGTAGACTTATATATAACTCTTAAGATTGAGGACCACTTTCTTTTTAATCTGTTTATAAAGACTGTACCTTTTTAAAAAGATTAATTAGCCAATTGGTTTCAAACACAATAGTTCTGATTTTTTTTAAATCACTGTAAAATAAACTCATTGAGATTTAATCTTGTTTTCTTCTGTCACTAAATTACGAGAAACAAGCCAAAAAGTTTATAGTTTGTTCTCTGGAATAATAAAAACAAAAGTGACCCATCAACCAGACAGACAGACACTAAACAGTGAACTAAATAACAGTCTACTCAGTGCCTTTCATGACGTGGTTAATATTTTGACATAAGGGTATCCTTATGTGACTAAAAAGTCATTTGTATTTTGTGTATAAACTAAATAGGCTATAAAAGATTTTTCTTCAGAAAGTAAAGTGATTACTTTATAATAAAATTTGAAAACTAGAGAAAAGAACATCATTATAATCTTGCCACCCTAATATAACCAGTTAGCCTTTTGATTTATTTTATTTTGCATATTCATATTTTATGCAAATGATTTTGTTCTTTTTATAAAACAATTTTTTAATGTTAGCATTAATATTTTATATTTTATAAAGGATAGTTTAAAAATAATAGTTTCTAAAATAAAGAATAGTTTTAATGGGTGACTAAAATATTTAATTACCTAGTTTTCTCATATGGAACATTAGATTAGGGTGCTTCCATTTTTTTTTCTTTCTATACATAATAGAATGTGAGTATTTTTATTTAGTCTTTGGTTTTTAAAAAATGTACCACCTTTATGACCTTATAACTCAGGAAACCTCCCCTGTTCATTCATTTATTATGAGACTGCATCTGATTAAATCAGTAGGCTTTTAATGTAAGGCAGGGTGAAAATTATTTCAATTTTAATATTTATAATCTTGTTTCAGGTTCTTAAACCTGTGAGAAGGTTGGTTAGTCTGCATAGTTTTCACTACCCGTTTCTATTTCCTAGGCTCAAGGAATAATGTATGCTATCATCAGTCCTCTAAAGTTCCAGTTTAGGATTTGCTTAAAATATTTAATTACTTGATAGGATTATTTTTTCCATCTATAAATAGTTGTACTTTAAAAAACTGTATAATGTTAGGATCTGGAATAAGTTGTTCCTGACTCAAACACTGACTTTAATAAAAACTCTTAATGATTTTGCTATTATTATTGACATAAAAATTTCATTGTGGAATTAGCATCATCTAACTCTTAATTTCAGTAGATTTTATTATGGCTTGCTAATTTTGGTAGGGCTAAGCATAGTCAAATTCACATTCTCTCGAGTGATTCTTTCTTTTAGGGTTAATGGAAGATTAGATTTGTGATTGCTGATGGGACATAATTTTCGATTGCTCTAATAAATGCTGTAGACAGTGTTTAGCCATGAGATGCAGTGAAAGGAACTTCGGGTTAGATATACCTGGACAGGAATCTCTGCCCTGCCACTTGCTTGGTGTGTGACTTTGAGCAAGCAACTTACTCTCTGAGCTAACTTTTCCTCATCTGTAAAATAAGGATAAGGACCCCTGTTTTCCAAGGTTTATGTGAGTTTTAATTAAGAATTTGAATATGTAAAGTAACCAGAGTAGTGGGTGATCACTAAGGAGGTGACCAATAGTAGGTGATGTATAAGATACAGCTATTATTTTGCCAGCAATATTAATCTCATATTAACCTTGAGAGTTCTTGATTTTAAAAAAGTAAAAAGGAATTTACTGATTTAAGTATAGATAGTAAATTTTATAGGTTGTGAAGATATTGGACAAGAAGTACTTAACATATATTCATGCTAATGTTTCTTACAGGGTTTAGTTTATTACTTGATGTATTTTGTGCTCTACATGGACCAAGAGAAAAATGTGTTGAAGTTCTGCGGAGTGGTCACTTGTTAGCTATCTCACCAGGTGGAGTTCGAGAAGCCCTCATTAGTGATGAAACCTACAACATCGTATGGGGTAATCGTAAAGGCTTTGCTCATGTTGCAATTGATGCAAAAGTGGTGAGTTGTTATAAAACTAATTATTAAAGTAAAGCTGGCTGAATTTATAATAAACACTTAAATAGTGAGCCAAAGTATGTAAGAATTTAGATACTGTAATGGCAGTACTTTATAAATTAGTGTATATAATTCTTAAAGTGTAACAGTAGAGAAATATTCCTGTGGATGGAAACCATAAATTTAATCTGGAAATTTGGCAAATACCCGGCAAAATTTTATTTTACATTTAAAAATCCAGCATCTTGTAATCAGATTTATAAAATTATTTGTATTCCTTCAGTTATACTTGTTTTCATAAGTAATAGTCCACTTCTATGTATTTCAATCCTTTCATATGATTGAGTTGGTCTAGTTCACTGATGTTTGCTGGTTGGTTTCACTGCAATTCTTTTATCTGTGATCAATTTATGTAACAGGACTCAAATAATATATGACTCATCATTTTTTATCAGGAAATGGGGTCAGCTACCTAGTAGTATGAATAAAAATGAGAAACAGATATTGGTGAAATTTAGATCTTTTTAAGACTTTACCAATGAACTTGTCAGCGAGGTGAAGTATTGTTCTGGGAGTCGCTGCAGTTCGCTCGGCAGGCTGGAGGGCGTGGGCGCCACTTGATCCTTTCCATTCACTTTGGAAAGTATTTCTTAGTTTTTCGGTCTCCATAGTGTACTTTATCCTACAAAGCATTTATTACTCATGGAATGCTTCTTTGTTTCCTGTTCGTTTTAACTTTAGATTGTCTATGAGAAAAACAAATCATAATATCTTTGACAAAGTGTGTTCTTTTTCTGGACCAATCAGTTAGCTAGATAGCTGCCAGTACTTTCACGTTTCAGTTTTTTGTGTACCCATTGCTGCCACATAGAGGACCAGTGTGCACCTTTAGCTTGCCCGTTTATCTTACAAATACAGGCTACTGAATAAAAAGGAAAAGATAATACATAATTCATTCTAACCCAAGACCACTATTTCAAAAAGAGTGGAAATTTGCTCTGTATTTTTTAATTTTAGAGTTGTAATAAATTCAAATGCATTGAGTTCTATTCTCTCTTGTACACATGTATATACAACTCCTAGAAGTACATTATTGCTGTGTAGTACTTTAATAATATGGTCCTAGTATAAGAGTTAATACACTTTCCCAAGTGTTTAATAATACACAACATACAAATTTAAATACTACTGTCCTACAGTAGATTATATATAAACTCTCTGAGGACAAAGTCATCTTTTTATATTCTGAGTTCCTAGTACAATCACATGCAGTTAGTAGGCTATTTGTATTTGTTAAATTGATTTTTTAACACAATGTTAAACAGTACTAGAAAGGAGCCTTTTGAATTTAATTTTATGTTAATAGTATTAGTGATATAGAAAATTAATTTAAAGCATGTTTTATTTTCAAGTCTTAAGTACTGATGTAGAAAACAAAACCTTAGACTATATAAATAGTATAGAATACAAAAGGATAGATGTACAGTTGTACACAAATTAAGGATATGTAATGTATTTTTAAGCAATGATAAAAGCTAAAATTTAATCAAAGATAGTTCAACTTTCAGGTTTATATTTTGAAAGAATTATTTCTTCTAAGGTTTAAGATAAAAATGACAAATAGATTTAGAATTACATAAATTGATCATGGGATTCTAATTTATCATCCTTAAGTTTACAGTTTTAAAGAACATTGCCTGGAAGAAGGCCTGAAAGAAAGAAATTATATAGAGAAAGGAAAAATCCTTGAAAGGGTTTCTAAATAATTAAGATAATTAGATAATTTAGATAAGGTTTTTGTATGAAATTGGAGAAAATTTAAAAACAGCCTTTTACAAGTTTATAAATAAACAAAAATCATTAATATCTCTGATTTACAAAAGAGCATTGTAAGTTTGATAAGTCTTATACCACCCCAACCTTTTGTAGTGCTTTTAAAGGCTTTATGTTGGAACTCCTGTGTAGTAAATAGGTGACATATGTAATTATTCCAGTGTTGCAGATGAGAAACTCAGGCACAGAAAGATGAAAGGATGAAAGGATGGAGGGATCACAGAGCAGAGCACACAGTTCAGGACTGCAGGCAACTGGTGCTGTTGCTATCACTGACAGCATTTCACAGTGAGTCTGCTGACCTTGAGATTAAAAGTCCTTCCAGACACCTGAGGAAAATCTTTCAATCATATAGTGATAAATGTTACAAGTATCCCATCTGGAAAACAACTTCATAGACCTCACAGAATTATCATAAACTTTGACCAAAAATTTAAGATGGTTGTTGCAGGATTAACTATATTTAAATGGTGACATAGTTAACAGAAATTAAAGTGAAAAAGTCTGGCTTGTCAATGCAAGCTCACAAAATACTGGTTAGAAAATATTAAAGGTTTGTCTGAAAGTTGCTTTTTGATATAATATAGATCACTGTTGTGAATTCCTGATAATTATGACTTTGATAAGAATATTTAGGTAACTTCATATCTAAATAAGTTGGGGGAAAATTAACCCATTTACTTTAGTTGGAAAACAAATAACAGATATAAAAGAAAATAGCATTTGTTTCAATAAAATTGTTCATATGTATTATTTCAACCTATTAAAAATCTTTGAACTATGATAATAATTAGCCCCATTTTAACATGAAGAAACTGAGACTTAGGTATGGTAAGTAACTTGTCCAGTGGGTCCCACTTTTTTAGTGGCCAAGTTAAGAATCTAAACTTTGTAAAACTGATTCTCCAAGAACAATTTTAACAAAATACACATTCCTCTCTCTTACACGTGTGCATACACATACATACACAGACACATGTATACATGTAAACAGAATGTAATGCTCGGTTACTTCTGCAACTACCTTGTATACAAAGTGTGCACAGGAAAGGAATGAATAATTGTACTGCAGCATCAAGATGTAATAAGGTACGTTTGTAGCTTTAAGGCTGTAGCTTCAATGCAAATTTAGGAACAATGTACCCAAAATATAGCCAGAAATACTGAGCCTACTAGGGTAAGCTTTCCCCCGTTCAGTAGGTTCTGGAAATTTCCAGCTTCTGGAGAATTAGCTATTTAAACAATGATATGTAACCTGAAGAATGTTTAAATAATGCATACTTTAATACAAACTTTGGGGCTCATGTAAGCCAGTAGACATTAATCCAGCAGAATGGCCAGATGAGGCACAGTGGTGTATATATGAGCTGAAAGGTTTCTGTTCCGTGGGCTTTTTAAGTTCACAATTCTAAAGTCATAACTATTTAAAACATTAAGATTTCAGCTATCATTTTAGTTTACAAAACTAGTGGTGGTTTCCTAGATTGAAATCTGAATTTTTTACAAAAATGCCAGTGTACTTTGTCTTACATGCTTGCTTTGTAAATTAACTCCATTGAATTTTAAAACCTTCATCTCACTTCTTTCCTTTACCTGACTTCTCTTTTTCCGAACTGTTTAAATTGCTGCTGCCTGTATCTGACCTTTATGTTCTAGGTGCCGAGGGCACAGCAGTGAACAAAACAATGTCTGTGCTATTAGGAATCTGTCTGGGAGAGGAGAGAGAGAGACAATAAATAAAAGATCAGTTAGCTATATGTGAGGTCACAAGTTTTATGAAGAAGGCTATTCCTGGTCTCTTTCCTTCAGTCCACCATATTTTACCATGTTCCAAAGCTGAATACGAATGGCTTTTTAAATGTCAGCTTATTTAAATATCTCAAACCCTGCTCACCAAGGCAGGTATTTCTGTATTAAGCAAATACTGATGATAGACTGTAAGTGAAATGACACTCCCTCCATCCCCAAGTTTTATCTGTTCTAAAGCCATTTAACTTGGTATATTTTGTGCGTGGTTTAAAGTGTTCAGTTTTTTTATCTACCTCGGTTTTACCACGGCATGCCCTTCTCACATGACCGTTCGCTACTTCGCCCATTGTTTTATGACATTTAGTTAAAGTCTTCATTATAAAAACTATACTTAATTAGTGATATTCATAGAAAAATGAAAGCCAGGAACTTATAAGAAGAAATTCTCTAAAATTAATGACATGAAGAATTCTTTTATATAGATGCTTTTCCTTTTCTGTAGTGAGTTGTATACTTACTTTTAATTGATGTTGAACATTTTTATATTTAATAAGCTCACAAAAATAAATGGTGTTTGACTAGTTCCATGTCAGCATCTTGCCCAAACCTGCCATTTAAATTTATATAAATTTCCCAGTAGAGAGAGCCTCTATCTGTAGCTTTTTCTTCAGAGACCATACTGCTCAGTAGCCCACTAGAGCCAGTTTGATTTCCCACATTCACTTTATTTAATAGTGATTATAATCTTTGAGTATCAGGGTTTATGTGGGAGGAATAGGAAAGTTGGTAAATATTATGTATTACCACTAGAGGGTAGTGTTTCCAATTTATATTTCTACAGATGACCAAGTTGAGCCTGATTAATCACACTGGTGATGAAAGTATACCTTTATTTTAAAAATACCTTATTTTCATAATCTTAAACAGGTCCTCAGAAGTTTACATTAGTGACTCAATGGAGACATTGAATAGATTAATATATTTACTTTTTAATCCAAATTTTCTCTTTAGCCCATTATTCCTATGTTTACACAAAATATTCGAGAAGGATTTAGATCACTTGGAGGAACAAGTAAGTTCTGGTTCATTTGGTTTTTCTAACGATAATGTAATATTTATAATGTAATATTTTATTTTATTTTAATAATGTAATAGTTTAAATATTTGGGCTTCTGAGCCCTATATGGGTTCAAAACTTAGAGTTTTTTTCTGTTTAGATGTTTTTCTATTTAAAGGCTGAATGACAACTGGTTCTAAGTAATGGCAGTTCTTAGATGTTAGGTTGTTGTCTCATATATGTACTGAAGCTTACTTGTCACTGGCTTTTTAAAATTAAGGAGTGTATTAAAATATGTTGACGGTTAGGACAAATTTACATATAACTCAGACTGTCTTCCTAACTCACCCCAGAAGAAGTTACAGCTTTAAAACTGGATGACAATATAATATTGAATTAAGATGAACAACCAAAGAAGATATAGTTTGCCTTGGCTTGTTTATGTTACTTTTTAAATTTGTTCGTTTTTAAAATAGTTTCAACCATGATGCATTTACTTCTTTTTGCTGACCTTTAATTTATTGTTAACAAAATAAGCTCTGAATCTAGTTATAGGAGTTATAATTAGATGTGCTTTTTCTTTGCAATGTCTCTTGTTTTCTTTTTACTTTGAAATTTCTATAGTTTGTTTTTATACCCTGTGTTTTATATATTACATTTGGTTGATTGTATTTTATATCCCTAGCACTATATTGTTAGCGTTTATATCCACATACAAATCCCCTTCTGAAGAATTTTAAACTTGTTTCTTTTATGTCCAACATTGTATTGTTGATATTCCATTATATTTTATAGGTCTTTTCTTTATTTTCACACTTAAAGTGGAAAGGCAGGTTGATGAGATGTTTAGTTTTTGTTGTGGAATTATATCTTCTAATTTTCTCTCAGATCATTTCTTCAGAATTTAAGTCGCATACCAGAAATTATTCCTAATTTTGCTTCTTTAATTGCAAAGTGGTTTTAAAATTCTTTTTGACTGTTTATTAACTTTTTTACTTTAATAGTTGAAAATCTCAAAAATTAGTGTCTAGTGATTTCATTTTCTTTTGACTATTACTTTGTGTCTCATGATGTATTCTGTGTTTCCATGTATAAACAGTGTTTTAAACTTCCAGTACAATTCGTGATTATGTATTCCGTATTGCTTGCCTTTCTTGGATTTATTTTTTAAAAACTTAGTCTTAAAGTCTGTCATTTTATTTTGCATTATTACCACTTTTTGCTGAATTTTATACTTTATCATTAGCATTAGAAATTCTTTGCTTTGTTACATTTTTTCTAATTTACAATAATGTTTTAGTCTTTACTTAGTTTAGTGATGCTTTTTGGCCTCATGTTTATGTGAATTTATTTTATGCTTCCATTTTTTTCTTTTTTTTAATTCATGTAAATCACGTATTTTTGAGTCTTCATACTTTTTAGCTTCTAGTTTTTGGTTTTAGTCTTTACCCTTTGTTTTGCAATAATAGTACTTGGCTTGCCTTTAACATTCTGAAATTTTTAAAAGCTCATTTAAAAAAATTAATAGGTCTTGTTTTTTTGAGAATTTTTAGGTTTAATGAAAAATTAAACAGAGAGTACCCATAAACCCCCACATCACCCTCTAGTTTCTTCTGTTAACACCTTGCACATTTGTTACAACTGATGAAAAGCTCACCTTCAAAAAAAACACTAATTGCCAAGAGATGATACTGTTTGCCACCTTCCTCTAAACCTTACATAATTACTTTGAGAGTTTACAATTACATGCTCAGAATTTGTAACCAATTAAAGTGATTTTGTTTACTTTAAAACAGGGTTATTTAGGTGGCTTTATGAAAAATTCCGCTATCCATTTGCTCCAATGTATGGAGGTTTTCCAGTGAAGTTACGTACCTATTTAGGTGATCCCATTCCATATGATCCAAAGATAACAGCAGAAGAATTAGCTGAAAAGGTAAATTATTCTTTCTTTCATAGTCCTTGTATAGCTTTTTACTTTCAATTATATTAAAAATTAATCCATTAATTTATTAATTTATTAATTTATTTTACAAGTATGCTCTAGATCAGTGGTAACTTCCTCCCCTGGGCACTTTTGCCAGTCTGGAGACATTTTTCATTGACACAATGGTCAGGACTTGGGAAGTGGTGGTGCTACTGGCATCTAGTGAGTAGATAAACATCCTGCACTGCACTGCACAGCCTGCACTGCAAAGACCTATCCATTCTAAGTGTGACAATTAAGAAAGTGAATGTCTATAGACATTGTCATATGTCGCCTGGGGCACAAAATCAACTGTGGTTGAGAACTGCTGTGTTAGGATATTAAAGAAGCACAAAGGAGAGGTATCTAAATGAGATCAGGGACACCTCAAGGAAGGTGATGCTTGAATTCAATTTTGAAAGACAAGAAGGGATTAACTGGACAAGGGGTAATGAGGTAGAAGAAACTGAATGTGTAGAGGGATGACAACATGCAATAGCCTGAATTCTCTGGGGAGCCGAGGGTGGTCTGTATAGCTAGAAGGAATATTGTAGGAAAGCCAGAGAGCTATTTAAAGCAGATGAATGATGTAATAGGTTTGCATTTAGAAAGATTACTAGGAGCAATATGGAGGCTGAATTTGAGTGAGGCAGTAGAAGCTCATTTTTAATTTTTATTTTTTATAGTAGTCATTCCAGTGATGTGAGTTGGTATCTCTTTGTAGTTACAATTTTCATTCATCTACTGATTAGTGATGTTGAATATCTTTTCACATGCTTAGCCATTTGTATATCTTTGGAGAAATGTCTGTTCAAGTTTTTTACCCATTTTATAATTGTATAACTTTATAATTGTATAATTTGGGGTCTTTTTGTTGTTGAATTGTAGAAGTTCTTTATATATTCTGGATGTTAACCCCATATTAGATATATGATTTGCAGATATTTTCTATCATTTCATAGGTTTCCTTTAACCCTGTCAGTTGTTTCTTTTGATGTACAGTTTTTAGGTTTGATGTAGTCCCATTTGTCTATTTTTGCTTTTATTTCTCTATTTTTGCCTGTGCTTTTGGTGTCATATTCAGGAAATCATTGCCAAATCTAATACCATGAAATTTTTCTCCTATGTTTTCTTCTATGCATTTTATAGTGTTAGGTCTTATGTTTATGTTTTTAATCCATTTTGAGTTAATTTTTGTATATTATGTAAGATGAGGTCTGACTCCTTTCTTTTGCATGTGCATATCCAGTTTTCCCACCACCAGTTGTTAAAGAGACTGTCCTTTCCTCATTGTGTGGTCTTGGCACCCTTGTTAAAGATCACTTGACCATACACACAAAGGTTTATTTCTGGGCAGTCTACTTTGTTCCATGGGTCTACATGTCTGTCTTTATGTCAGTTTTGATTACTATAGCTTTGTAATATATTTTGAAATCAGAAGGTGTGAGGCCTGCAACTTTGTTTTGCTTTTTTCAATTGAAGATCATCTTGGCTATTCAGTGTCCTTTGAAATTCCTTATGGATTTTAAGATTTTTTTTTTTCCTATTCAAAATTGCTGTTGAGATTTTGGTAAGGACTGCATTGAATGTGTAGATCTCTTTGGATAGTATGGTCTTCCTACCAATATTAAATCTTCCAAATCCATGAACACAGGATATCTTTCCATTTATTTGTGTCTTTATTAGTTTCTTTTAGCAGTGTTTTATAGTTGTCGATGTATAAGACTTTCTTCCTTGGATTATTCCTAAGTATTTTATTCTTCCTGGTACTATTGTAAATGGGGTTGTTTTTTCATTTTCTTTTTCAGATTGTTCATTGTTAGTGTATAGAAACACAGCTGATTTTTGTGTGTTGACTATATCCTGAAGCTTTGCTGAATTCATTTATTAGGTCTAACAGTTCTTTGCGAAATCTTCAGGGTTTTCTACATATAAAGTCATATCATCTGTGAAAAAGATAAGTTCACTTCTTTTTCATGTACAGTCTGATTTAATTGTTGCCTCAGCCTTCTAGGGTAGCCCTTATTATCAGTTTTACACATGAGAAAACTGCATGACTTGGTCAGCTTTGCTGGGTTATGCTGCAGTGTCAAACAACCATAGAATCTCGGGCGGTTAGGACAAGAGAGCTTGCCTGTTCCTGTTACGTCTCCTCTGAGGTCCAACCGAGTCGTCTTTGTCTGGGGCTGAAGGAACCCTGTGTGGGGTGTTGCCCTTTGCATGGCAAGTGGAAAAGGTCAGGAATGGAACCATGAGATGGCCCTTAAAGCTTCTGGTTGGAAGTGACTCACTTATTTCCACTGACATTTTCTTGTCCAGAGGAGTCACATGGCCACACTGGACTCCAGTGGAGCAGACCTGCTGGGTTCCTTCCACAAAAGAGCCCAGAAGCGAGGGAGGGAAAGTGACTAGAATACACCCCTCCATCCTGGGACCCGGCAGTTCAGACTCTTAGAAAAGGACACGCAGCTGGACCAGCTCTAATGTTGTGTTAGAGGAGACGGTTCAGGTCACCAGGGTCACCCCCACGACACATCTGGGCCTTGTCTGTGAACTTCATTGTTAGGAAACTGGCCTCCAGTTCTGCTGGTTCATTAAGTACATTCCCAGTTTATTGCTCTTTTTCATCCTGAAAGTAAAAGCCTCTGACACTGATTTTTAGGATCAGGACACGCTCTCCACAAAGCATGCTTGTCTCTCGTCGTGAAGCAGTGCCTTCCTGAGATGGCTGCAGGACTCCTGCAGCAGGCTGAGCTCACCCCGTGACTTCGCTTCTTCATTGTTAACATAACACATTTCTTTGCTGCCCCTAACAAATGCAGTCTCCTTTAGGATATAACTGAATTCTCTTTTGTTCTTCTTAAATTTTTTCCTGCCTATCTATTAGGATTTAAGTGGGTCAGAGCTAGTTAGGAACACTTTTGTGGAGATACTGTCTTTTTTTAGTGAGTATCAAAATGGCCAAAATAGAAGAGAAGGGGGAAAAAAGCCTGGCCTTATCTCAGAGGTTTCTTCCAGGTCTAAAACTAAATGAATCCTATACCTTTCCTTTCCTCAGTTAAGGAAAATATATGATTCCAGTGACTTGATTTTTCATAGGAGGGTTTTCATATGAGACAAATTTGCACGCTCGCTCTCTCCCTCTCTCTCCCCCCATATAGTAAAGCCTCATCGAGTAAAACTAAGTAAGAAAGTAAAGGCCTTTCTGGAGCATTGAAATACCTGTTAATGTCTCCAGTTACTTTATTTACTTTATTATCAGTACTTAAGGTAGCAGAAGTAGTTTACTAAATCATAGTTGTAGATTTCTTCAGGGAATTTACTTAAATACCTAGTTGCCACATCCATATTTTTTACTGTAGGTTGACATTATTGAACTAAAGTATACCTGAAGTAAAGAATACTTGCAATTTTCCTTTTGTGAATACATTGTTATGGTTTCCCAATCTTCATTGTTAATAATATAATAATAAACTAGAGCATAATGATCCCTGAGTTATCACAAATTCGAAGTGACTAGCATCCAAATTAATGTAGAAATGAAACCTCATTTTAGAAATGGGTGATAGACTGTTCAGGCATTTGACTGTGGAGAACCATTCTGTAAACACTACATCTAAATTAAAATATACTGTACTAATGCTGAAGAGGACACTTGGGATATTTCCTTAAACTTCTCTCTGTCTTAATCTCTGTTGTTTTTTGTTTCCATGATTACAATGGCTGTTTCTGTCTCTATGCCTCACTGTCTACATTCTCATACTCACGTTCACATATGCATATAAATACAGATTTATTTTCATGTACATATATGTTATATATACATGTATTATTAAGGTGGAAAGGAGATGGAGAGAAGTGGATCGATTTGAGTGGTATTAGGGAGGTGATACACCGCCAATGGATTGGCTCTTGTGAATGAGAAGCAGTTGTTAGGATGACTCCTGGGTTTGGGCTCACTTGGCTAGATTCATGGCAGTATCATTTGCTGAAACAGGGAGGGAACTCAGGCATTAGACTGTGGAGAACCACTCTGTAAACACTACATCTAAATTAAAATACACTGCACTGATGAAGTGTGAGGGGAAAGAATGTTAGTTTAGTCTTAAGTTAAGCAGGTTGGGCTGAGATGCCTTTAAAACATTCAAGGGAAGTCGTATTGAACATTCCTATTTGAAACTGAGTGGGCTGGAGATACAGACGTGGGAGTTATCAGCAGGTGGATGGTACTGAAGGGTGTGGAAATGGAGAAGATCACGGACCTGAATCTTTGAAGAGTAAGTGTATGCCTGATTCTGTAGATTATAAATCTCCAGAAGGGGGTTGAAAGGGAGCAACTCGAAAGTAGGTGAAAACCCAGCTTTTCCTCTAACATGAGAGTTACAAAGGCAGGAACGATGGTGATTGAGAGGTTAAGATTAAATGTTTATTGGATTTAGTGCAACAGTTGTATTTTTCTTTAAAAGATGTCTTTATTGATTTCAGAGAGAGGAAAGGAGAGGGAGAGAGCGAAATGTCAGTGATGAGAGAGTCATTGATGGGGCTGCCCCCTGCTTGCCCCCCTGGGGATCAGCCCTGTGCCCTCACTGGGATGGAGCCCTGATCTCCCAGATCCTAGGTCGATGCTCAGCCACTGAGCCACGCTGGCCAGGCAGCAGTTGTATTTTCTTGATACATAGTTATTCACCCCCAAATCCTGCCTTGGCCCCTCAATTCATGCTAAACATCTGTACTTTTCCCCTTGGTACTTGCTCCCCTCGGGATTCATTGGCCCTAGTGTAAAGCCCTGCGCCAGCCGCTCCCGTGGACACCCCTGGAACCTGGCGAGCTGGGCGCTGCGGCAGCCGCCTGCTGTGGGCCTGCGGGCCTCCTGCTGCGGGCCTCCTGCCGCTGCCACCGCTGCTGGGACCTGCCTGCGCCTCGCGACCAGACCCCGCCGTGCCTTGGTCACGCATCCATCTCCGGCCATTGCCCGCCAAGCAGGCGCCCAGGCCCGAGCTCCCGGGCCCTGCCTTCACCCCCGGGGTGGTGCGGGGGCCGGGGCTTGCCCGGGGCGCGCCCCAGGAGGTGGCCGATGCCTGGGCTCCTTCCCCGTTGGGCGCTGGCTCAGGCTCAGGCCCCCTCCCCAGTCGGGGGTGCAGGGGCAGCTGATCAGTGTTTCTCTCCCTCCCTCCCTCTCCTTCTTTCTGTAAAATCAATAAAAACATATTTAAAAAACCCTTTTCTTCACATTTCAGGTGATACATGTCACAAATGATCTTACATTTTAATTACTTTGTACTTGATTATGTTTATTAAGTTACGAGCTCCTTGAGATTTGAGACTTGTTGCACTGATGTTACAGCTTTCAGAGCACCTAATACTTTTTGAATAAGTGGATAAAATATTAAAAATGTACCCCACAGAACACAGCCTATGTGTTAGTCTCTGTGCCAAGTACCTGAAGATGTGGTTTCAGGTTTCACTTAATCCTCATAATAACTGTATGAAATAGTTCTCATTTCACAGACATGAAAATTTGTGGTTTATAGAGGCACATTTTTAAAGTACATCTTTGGGCTAGGGTTTACTAGTTATATTTTAAAATAGGGGAAGTTTCGAGGTTTGTAAAAAGAAGGCTCCCTGAAAGGTTACCTCTGAGAGGAAGCGTGTATGCGAGAGCGTGCCTGCGCTCTGTACATGCACAAAGCAGTTTTTTAGATGGCTGCAGCTAACTTCAAAGTAAAAACTTGAAATTTGTCATGAATTGAATGGGCAACAAGTAGTCTCAGATTTCTTCATATGTCCTAATTGACTTTTCCATTGTTATGACCATTTAAATTACTGTTAAACTGCCTAGAAATGTAGGTATTGAACTAAAGGACATGAGCTCATTCATTCATAGTTTTACTCATTTTTTCCTTTTTTATTGCCTGATATAATTTTTTGATGTGTATGGTGATGAAGGAAAAATATACAACAGTTTATTAATGGATAGAAAGAAATGAAACTTCCATTTGTCTATTTGAAAATTTCTTGCTACTTTTTTTTCTTCTGATTTTTTTCTTCAGTTCTTTAAAAAAGTGTTTATTGAATGCAAGACATTGCTGTGCTCAATGCTGGAGAAATGCTGAGACGTGTCTCTGGTGTAGGAAATACCCATGTGGGCAATACTGTAATTCAAGCATGATAAAACAAGTATAAGAAATATACCATGGGTGTCCTAAGAAGGAAACCTTTAATTCTGAAGAGAGGTGGGTGCTAAATTAGGGAGGACTTCTTGAAAGTAGGAGTACATTAAAATCTTTACAAAATAAATAATCTTTGTTGAGAACTAAAAGGATAATGCTTTTTTTGTTTGTTTTCTTAATAGACGAAGAATGCTGTTCAAGCTTTGATTGATAAGCACCAAAGAATACCGGGAAACATTATGAGTGCTTTGTTAGAACGTTTTCAGAAAAACCAAAACAGTCACTAGAAGATGATTTAATATATTTATACTGATATGTTTGTGTCTATGGTACTGTCTTCTAAATTTTGTAGGTTCTATACTTAGTATTTTTGTAGAAATCATGTTAATAACCATCTTTTGATGAACTTGTTTAAAATAGCATTGAAAATTTTGTTTTACTCAGTCATGTCAAATTTAAACAACTCATTACGGCGCCTAATAATTCAGAAAATGATCATGTTTTCTTTTTATAAATTCCTAACAATGTATGACAAATATATAGATTATTAGAGTTAAGTTTATTAAGAACAGCAATTTAGGTTAAACACATATTCCTAAATAAGGTATCTAATTTCTGTATCTGTTGCACTGAGCTAATTTTCAAGATGGTATAATCTAGGGTTGGTACAGATGCTTAAATTATGGGGGGGAAATGCTCTTATTTGCCTTTCATTCCCTTCATGACCTTGGGCATGTCACAATGTTTTTGTTCCCTTCATGACCTTGGGCAAGTCACATAATGTTTTTGTGCGTCAGCAATGCCAGAGGGGAGGGGGGAGGGATGACTGGATAAAGAAGGTGAAGGGGTTAGCTAAGGAACAGATATGAGCACCCCATGGACAGTGACAATAGTGTGGGGAAGGTCAAAGGAGGGGGAGGGGAGGGGCGCAAAGTGCGGGAAAGTGGGGACCATCTGCAATAGTGTCAACATTAAAAATTTTTAATTAAAAACAAAACAAAAAAGTTTACTTTTTAAAAAATGTTAATACTATGGTGAATGTTATTTTAAACTTTTTATATTTGCTGTGCTTGATAACTGTAGAATTGAAATTATAACTGAATTAATTAAGACCAAGGTCTTTCAGAAGTTTATGTATGTGTTTTGTCGTAGGATGTTTAAATTATTCCTTCAGGTATAATGTCAAGTTGCCAAGCACAATGAAAAAGATATACTGTTTTTCAAATTGAATAAGAAAGAAATTAGGAAAAGTAAAATTTCTAATTTTTGTTTTTAATGAGAATCTGTAAACAAAATGTAATGTGTGCTGTGCATTGTGAGTCCCATAATAGGGCATTAGTAGTGTACAGGTTTTTTTGTTTGTTTGTTTGTTTTAATACATCTTTATTGATTTCAGAGAGAGGAAAGGAGAGGGAGAGAGAGAGAAACATCAATGATGAGAGAGTCATTGATCGGCTGCCTCCTGCATGCCCCCTACTGGGGATCCAGCCCGCAGCCCGGGCATGTGCCCTGACCGGGAATCAAACCTCGATCTCCTGGCTCCTAGGTCGATGCGCAACTGCTGAGCCACGCCCGGCTGGGCAGTAGTGTACAGTTTAAAATCACTGTAAGGTTAAAAGTGACTGTCATGCTCTGCATTTCATATGTCAGAGGGATTCTAGGCTGATGAAAGCCGTTGGAGAAAGTTTTGCTCTTGCTAAATATCATGGCTTATTCATTTGACTTTGCAACCAGTCAAATGGTTTATTGTTTCAATAAAAATATACTTGAATGATGAATTTATGTGAACACAAAACTTTCTGAAAAATTAATGACTTTTGATCTGTTGTCTCCTTGAAATCTGAATTATAAAAGTATTTAAACAGAATAGTACCAGAAACCACATGCAGTATCTCCCTTTCCCTTTTTAAGATATTAAACTACTTGGATTTTTGTGTATATTTTTGTATAACAAGTATGTATGTATATATGTATGATATGTGTAATGTATATAAAATTAAACAACATAAAAATAAATGTAAGGCTGAATTATAGTTCATTTTCTTGCGAAATTACATTTGTGACATTTTCTTATTTTAAACTGATTTATCTCTCACCCACATATATTCATGTATCTCAGCCAGAATGAAAAACCTTACTTTTTAATGTAATGAATATATTTTAATTTTGGTTTCAATGAAAAGTCAATTGATTATTTGTAGCTTTTTTTCCTTGAAGCAGCAAGCAGTATTTGTTTAAAAGTGATACATATTTCCAGAACGAATGAATAAATGATCATAAAATGAATGAGATACTGTTTTGGGGTAACTATTGGGTTTTCAAAACAAGAAAGAATAACATTCATCCATAATACAGCAAAAGCTGTTTTGTTTTTTACACTAAGTTTTACTGCTTTATTTAAAACCTGTTTTGTTCTCTGATAGAGTAATATAAGATATTCATCATGGCTATTTGAACTTAAACCCTAGTTAGAAGAATGAGGGAGTGTGGCTAAATATAGAAACCTAAGTAATAATGGAAAAGGGATGTTCTTGGTCCTTTCCGAAGGGAGTGTTCACAGGTTAGAATCTGATGAAACCTAGGGCACTCTCCAGAAGCATGAACATGGCACACCTCTATGGGAAATCTCTCATACTCTTTTTAAAAATCTTTCATTTTGAAACAATTTCAGATTTACAGAAAACTGAAGTAACAGAGCCTAGTGCTCCCGTGTACTCTGCACCCAGTGCCATCAGTTCTTGTGCCACATTAGTCGTGCTCTCTTCCCATACCCCGTCCGCTCATGTATGTGTCTAATATCTGTCTTCTGAACCGTCTGCTCGTAAGTTGCAGATAATACGCCCCTTACCTTTACCCTAAACCATAAGCCCACCCATTAAGAGCACCACAGAACAACGACCAAAATCGGGAAGCTATTCATTCGTATAATAGTATCGGATCTAAAGGCTGGGTTCAAATCTCAGTTTCTATAATATTTTGTGTATCAATTTCTATTCTTGATCCATGGTTCATGGCAGGATCACACATTGCAATCGTTCCTTTAATCTGGAACGATTTCCCAGCCCTTTTCCCCTCCACCCCACCCCTCTTGGATAATTCAGTAGAACGACTCCCAAAACTCAGGAAAGTGCTGTACTTAAGTTTCATTGTAAAGAACACAGCTCGGGAGCGGGGAAACGGCAGAGGGTAAGGCATGGGCCTGGGCTGCACAGGGCTTCCATGTGCTCTGTGGGTGCACTGCCTCTCCAGCACATCAGTGTGTGGTGATTGAACTCAATCCCCCCCCCCCGTACCCCAATAACCACCTTATTAGCATACAGGAGGGACTCAGGAAAATCTAAGGTTTTAGGAGCTCAGCGTCAGGAACTGGGAATGAAGACCAGTTCTTACAACTGTATACCTACCAATTTTCCTGATTTCCTACCAAGAAAGCTAGGGATTTAGTACATTTACATCCACTATTCCCCATGCCTTTCCTATCCCTGTTCTTCCCATTGATTTATCACAATTTGGGGTTAAATTAGCATTGTGTTATTACAACTATGCAAATATGTTTACAGCTGAGCCATTTAGTGTGCTATGATTAAATTTCCCTTCCTGAACAGCCTTCTCCATTCCCTTGTCGAATTAGTAGTTATTTCACTTTTCATTTGGTTACTTTTATTTGGGCCCTAGTAATTTTTCACCAAAATTTTCCACAAAGCTGTAAAAAGACCAAAACAGCATTTACAGTCAAGCACATCAGCCAGTTCTTATTTGCTCCACGCTTCCCTTTGTGTTAACTCTGCTGGAGCCTGGTGTACATCTGTTGCAATCTGGCAAAGTCTCTGTAACCCTGCTGAGGCACTTAGGAATTCCTTTTACTTTTCTCCTTTGGATCCCTGCTCCCCGATCCCATGCTTCCTTTTTCTTGGCTTATGCCCACTTTTGGTGAGACAGGTCCTCTAGTAGTTTCCTGAGAAAGGTTGCAGGAGAGATACAAGTTTCAGCTTTTGAGCAGCTCATACTTGTTCGGTAAGTTACCTGGGCATAGAATTCTATAATGGAAGTCATTCTCTGAATTTTTAAATCATGTTATATTATCTTGTAGCATCTGTTGTTTCTCCTGTAAGATATTTGATGCCATTTTGGTTCTGAGTGCTTTACATGGCACCTGTTTTTCTCTCTGGTAGTGTCATTTTACCTATCTCCTGAAATTTTTTTGACACTCGTTTAGTTTGCACACTTTAAGCTAAATATTTGATGGATTATTTTAATTTGAAAATTTTTGCATTTTATTTCTAAGAAATTATCTTTCTGTTTTTGTTTCTGGGTCTTTTATTTTTTATTTTATTTTTTAATTGATTTCAGAAAGAGGAAGGGAGAGGGAGAGATATAAACATCAATGATGAGAGACTCATTGATTGGCTGCCTCCTGCACCCCCCCTTACTGGGGATCAAGCCTGCAATCCGGGCATGTGCCCTGACCAGCAGTCAAATCCAGATCTCCTGGTTCATGGGTTGATGCTCAACCACTGAGCCACACCAGCCAGGGCACTTCTAAGTGTTTCTAATGTGTATCCTCAATTAGAGCTTCTTGTCTAAACCTAGAGGTCTGAGAATTGCCTTCAGGGCGTTGATAGACTTGGTGAAGTTGCATAATACACAAAAGTTGGGGTGGCTGCCTGGCTCATGATGAATAATCCCCTTTCTTTGTGACGAGCCTCGATTGACAGTGTAGGCATCCAGTGGCCAGAACCCATTGGGTCAGCCTGGAAATCTAACACAAGCCAAGTCCATCAGTATCTTTGTCCTGGAAGGGTTTTTTCTTGTTAAAAAAAATTTTTTTCACTAATATTTTTTCTTTACTAGACTGCTTCTCAAAATAAATATAACTTTATTTTTTTATAATAAAAATAACACATTAATAGAAATAAATCCAGACAATATAAAAAGGTGTAAAGTAAAAATGAAAATTGCCACCACCCAGAGAGAAATCTTATTAACATTTTGATGTGTGCCTTGCTATATTTTTTCATGCATATATAAAAAATGTGATCATATTATACATGCTGTTTTGTAATCTTTTTTATTAAATGTAACATATATGGGTAATTTTTTTACAATGAATATTGATCTTGATGATTATTTTTAAATCTGCATAGCAGCAATCTAGTGCATGGCTGTACTGTAATTTATTTAATGAGTTCTCTATTGAAAATTGAGAAGATACGCTTTCCAGTTTTTTCACTATTACGAATAACCTCATAATGAACATATTTGTACCTATAACTTTGTATGCCTTTCCAGGTATTTCCTTAGGATAAATTCACAGAAGTCAGATCGCTGGGAAATGGCATGCCTATTAAAAACCTGATTACATATGCCCAGGTTACGCCCTAGGAAGCCGGTCTTACTTGTCCTGTGACCATCCCAGCATGAGAGTGCGCTGCTTCACACATTACCAATGCCGGCTATCAGTGACCTTGCCAATCTGTTAGGCAAAAATTATACTTATTATTGTCTAATTGCTTTGATTCCTTGATAGGGGAAACACTAATCAAATTCTGAGTGAGAAAATTTCATTTAAGCCATGAAAGCGACTAGGCTTCAGTTCCACATTGGGGACAAAACAAGTGACCTGGATCTGACAAAGGCTATGATGACATCCTGCTGATAATTATTATTTTTTTAACAGTTTGCTTTTGAGGTGTATACAGTTAAGTTACTGGCTCTTTTGATTTTTAGTTCCCCTTTTGGTCCCAAATATCTAAAATTAAATAGACATTTGGAAGGACCTGGAAGCAGTTATTTACTATCCTTACACCCGCCTCGCCTCACGTGAAATGGCAGGAAACAGGCCTGACGCTTCATTTCACTGCTGCAACTCTATCACTCTTCTGTGTGTCCTCACACTTCCTGCCCAAAACTCTTTTTTCTCAAAAGCTCCCTTTCTCATCCAGGAGTGACTTAATTCCTTTTTCCCCCATTCCACGGACTTTTTGTTTCAGTTGAGGTATATTTACATACAAATATAACCATTAGCTATTTTAAAGTACATTCAGTTGCTTTTAGTACATTTGCACAGTTGTGGGGGCATCATCTCTAGTTCTCAGACCTTTTCTTCCCCACAGAAGAAAACCCCACAGCCACGAAGCAGTCCCTGGCCACTCCCTCGTGTGGGCCCTTCGCCAGC